CGATGTCACATATGCTGAAAACTCAGTGGCGTTCCTATACAAGAAAATTGAGATGGCACGTCCCTAGTTTCCTTTCAGTAGGTGTTGCGCCCGTACCGGACCGGGACCGGCAACGGGATCGCAACCCTCGGCGTTGCTCCCGTGCCTCGATCAGCCAGTGAGCGGGAACCGGTCCGTATGTGGGATCCGAACCCTCGGGCGGGAGCGCCGCCGCACTTCCCAAGCGGCACACTATCCAGTGCGCCACCGGGCCGGCCCCAATATACAACTTTCAAACATGGTTTTAAGACATTTTTGGCAACCTGACCTAAATCTGCCCTTTCATCTCCCTCTTCTCCTTCGTAAACCTTGATAAATCCCCCATTCTCTCCCTTCCCCTCTTTGCCCTATATGTCCCTTTTTCCCTTAAAAGGTAATAATGGGTATTTAAAGCAAATCTCTTATTCTTTTTTTTAAAAAAACAACTTTATGGAGTTATAATTTATTTATTTATTTATTTTTCTTCTTCTTCTTTTTTTTTTTTTGTCTTTTTTTCGTGACCGGTAACGGGATCACAACCCTCAGTGTCGCGCCCATACCGTGACTGGCAACGGGATTGCAACCCTCGGTGTCGCGCCCGCACCGCGCTCAACCAGTGAGCGGACCGGTCTCTATATGGGATCCAAACCCTCGGCGGGAGCGCCGCCGCACTCCCAAGTGCCGCACTCTACAGAGTGCGCCACCGGGCCGTCCCTGGAGTTATAATTTATAAAATTCATCCATTTTTAAGTGTACAACTCAATGCTTTTTAGTAAATTTGTTAAGTTGTGCAACCATCATCATAATCTAGTTTTAAAACATTTCCATCACCACAATATGATCTCTTGTGCCCTTTTATAGTTAATTCCCACTCCCAACTCCTGGCAACCACTAATGCACTTTCTGTCTCTAGATTTGCCTTTTCTTAACATTTCATATAAATGAAATCATGTAATGTGTGGTTATTTGCACTTGGCTTCTTTCACTCAGTATAATGTTTTTGAGGTTCATCTATGTTGTAGCATGTGTCGATATTTCTTTCCTTTATGTTGTAAGTACTGTTCTGTTGTGTAGATATACATCACATTTTGTTTACTAACCAGCTGGTGGATTTTTGAGTTTTTACTTTTCAGCTATTATGAATAACACTGCTATGAACATTTGCATGCAATTCTTTGTGTGCACATATTAAACCTTTTATTCTTGACAATTAATAAAATTGTATGTTTCTAATTCAAAAAGTAGCTGAGTTGTAATTTTTTATAATCCTAGTCCTTTGCCTCTTAAAAAACCCTCCAAAGCTAAACTGGCTTTTGTTTGTTTACTCCTGTGAAGATAACAAATGATTCTTTTTCTCTGTTCTTTTGCCCTTAGTAGAAAAAGAGGCTCCCCACTTGTTAGAAAAATATTTCTAACTCTTGGTTTTGAAAAAGAAAAATATATTATTATCCAATTTAAGGGGCATTGATTCTGCACATCCCTTGTGTCCAGACCTGTCGGGGCTGAGGAGCCAAATGATGAGACATGGACCATTGAAGACCTTACCAAGGTGGGGGGAACGGATAGCCAGAGAATTATTCCCATTCTTTTCCCATACTCAGCAATCAGTAATGACAGGAAATCTTTACAGTTATTCTCTCTTCTACTGCCATCTTTGATAAAGGAATATTATTTTTAAGAAGTACTATTAAAATCTCTACCCATTTTTCCCCCAACAAAAAAAATTTCAGCTCATTCAAGGAAGTTAGTATCAGACAGAGTTTCATTCCTTTTCCATGTAGAGTCACATGCACACACCTTCCCAAAGAGCAGTGGCCAGAAGCCCATTTTTGGCTCCTGTGCAGCTCAGCCATCCATCCTTTGTAGGACTCTTCTGGGCAGTCTTGGTTTGAAAATGTCCAGGGCCCGGGAGCTCATAGCTTTGCGAGGTGGCCTATTTTATTAGTCAACTATGGTTTTTCTTATTTTGAACTGGGCATTTTATTCCCTGCTAATTTTATCCATTAGTCTCCTGTCCATATGCCTCTTGTGCATGGTATCCTTTTATATATTTTAGCATACTTATCCTCTTTTCCAAGGTAAGCTCTGTTAGTTTAGGAGATCTTATAACAGACTGATGCCTAGGTGGGATCTAATCTGTTTAGAATGTAGTCATAGGGAAGGGACTATCAATGTGGCTGAATACTGGCTTTTGTTTAACAGCCACCTCACATCCTGTTGGCTGCTGTGAAGTTTGAGCTTCACCCCAAAGTCCAAATCTCTTGGTTTTATAAGTCGGGTCTTCTCCATTCTGTACTAGAGTGATTTTGTGGTTGCTGAATCATATATAACTTTACATTTAGCCCTATTAAATTTGATTTTACTGGAGTTTTAAAAAATTTTTTTATTGTGGTAAAATATACAAAAAATTTAACATCTTAATCATTTGTAAGTATACAGTTCAGTTGCATTAAGTACATTCCCATTGTTGTATAATCATTATCATTTATCTCCAGAACTTTTTTCATCTTCCCAAACCGAAACTCCATATTGTTTAAATAATAGTTCCCTATTTTTCCCCACCCCAGCTCCTGGCAAGCTTCTGTCTCTACTTTATGTCCCTATGAAATTTGACTATTCTAGGTACTTGCATATAAGTAGAATCATACAGTATTTGTCCTTTTGTGACTGGCCTGCTTCACTTAGCATAATGTCCTCAAGGTTCATCCATATTATAGCACGTGTCATAATTTCCTTCCTTTTTAAGGCTGAATAATATCCCACTGTATGTACATACCACATTTTGCTTATCCGTGCATCCATCAGTGGATATTTGTGTTGCTTTCACATTTTGATTATTGTGAATGTTGCTAATGAAATGAATGTACATGTATCTGTGCAAGATCTTACTGATTTTAACTCATTCATTACATTTTGCCCCCATTTTGTGTTATTAGATAATTATCTACAGATCAGGTTGATCTCTGACTTTATCCAAGTTCCTTGTTGATAAAAATGTTGCATTTTCTGTTTATCTGAAGTTATCATTTTGCACAAAATGGTCATTTCCCCCATCAGCAGCCTTTTTTTTAATGACCTGGTCTTCACAGCTGGACTCTGGGAGCTTTCACATTTAGCCTGAGTCTGAGTTTGTTATAGTTCTTTTGTTTAAGGTCTAACTTGGAGGATGGGGATTGTGGTGAATCAAATAATCAACCTCTAGGCTGGGTCAAAGTGGGAGGTTTGTTTGTTTTTTACCTGTCTATTTGAAGGCCGCCAAGACTATACAGAAACTAATATGAGCCACCAAAGGAACAGAACTGAGTCTTGGAGTGACCTGATTAAAATTTAATTTGTTTGCTTCACAAATATGTACTGAGCTTCTACTTGTGAAAAGCACAAAGTGCTTTTGGAAATCAAAAGATGAATAAAAACACACTACCTGCTTTCAAGATGATTACAGTACAAAATGTTAGAAAAACATCCTGTTGTAACCCAGAGATTTTTAGGCAAGGCTTCAGCCCATAGCTATAAAAACGTATCTCCTTAAGATGAGGAGGATTACAAAATACACCAAAAAGCAAAGTATGCTCTGAAATTATATTTTAGTATAGATAGTTTTAAGCAAGGATTTAGAGACAAACTGAAAAATCTAAACATGAAAGCTTTAGAGGTGTTAAGCTTTTGCTTTACTTTGGCTAATATAAGAGCACTCGGAAAATAAAAAGTGCTCTTGCTCTTGACAGTATAAATTCTTATTATTTTTAGAGAATAGTAACTATGCATTTATGAACTTCTCTGTCAGAGCGATTTACTTAATAGGTATGTAAATGACTACTTATTTCAATGGGTAGGTGGATTGCTCTTCATGTACACTTTCTGAGGAAGAATATAAGTGCTAAAAGTGATCAGCATTGCAGATGGAAAGAAGCAAAAGTGGAGACTAGAATGCCGTACCTTTGTTGTGTTAGGTATTAGGAGTGAGACAGAAAGTTCATCTTGTAGTTGAGACATGATCAGTTTACCTAGTAGGATTTCTTATTCACATCTGACTTGAGGACTGTTTGGGGTGCGAGGAAACTAAAGTGAATTGGGGTGCAAGGTAGTTTCCTGTTATTGGTTTTCAAGCACAAAAGATCATTATAAACCCAGCTGGGGTGGGATGGGGGAGGTGATGAAAGTTAATGCCACAGCAATAAGTTTCCATGCAAGAGAACATCTTTAAAAAACACCTAAGGGGCTCTTTTAAAAATTTGTGGGTTTTTGCATTAAAACAACTTCAGAGGAGGTGGGGAATTTCAAAGCTCTTCTGGCTCTGGTTGCCTCCTGTGACCAGCATGGAAGCTTCTATAATCGTTGAGGATTTAAATCAGGGTCCTAGTCTCAGGGAAGAAGTCACCAGTGGGAGAGAAGAAATGGGCCCTGCCTGCTAAATGGTCACCAGCTCTTCCCTCACTTGAATTCATCCTACCCAGTGAATTAGCCTCATCTTCAACTAACTGGGCTTTAATTATTACATTCCCCTTCTTTGTAATTTCCTTGGATTCTCAGTTGTCATGCAAATCAAATTAAAATTCTCGGTAATGGATCTCAAGCCTTCCACCAATTTGCCCTCCCACCCTCCTTACCTAACTGCTCTTGACTCCTGCCAGCATTAGTGCACATTGTCCCCATCAGGCCAGCAGCCGATGTGCAGGAACTCATTCGTCATGTTTGTTTCTTCCTGTGGGCTACAGCTCATCTCATTTCCCTGCTGCTCTTACTTGTCAGTAAGCTGAGCTCCTTCCCACTTGCTCCTTATCACCTGGCCGCACACAACTGTTCTCATAGGCACATGTCCCTTTACTTGGCAGGCTCCTGTGCCGTGCCATGGCCATGGAGGAGAGAGACCAGTGGCTGTATCGACTTGCGTCAGCCCCCAGCTCTGCAGGGGTGCCGCACAATGTGAGCACTTCTTCCTGACTGTTTGTTACGTGCTTGCTTTTGTCTCCCTTTTCCTTCAGGTACAGAGTGAAGACAGTGTCCTCCTGTTTGTTATTGCCTGGACCATCACGGAGATTATCCGTTACTCCTTTTATACATTCAGTCTATTAAACCATCTGCCTTACCTCATCAAATGGGCCAGGTAAAAATGTACATGGAATGAAGACTACCTTTTGAAATCATCCGTCACTGCATTTGCCCTTTATTGCCTAAATATTTCCTCCAAGTTTTTAAAAGTAGAATTGTAGGAGACAGGAATTGGGTAGAAATCTGGTCTGTAGATTTCATCAAGATAAAATGTCTTTGCTTAATTTTGATTAATAGAAACAGTTTTTTAAATGTTTATATTTTGTTATTTTTATTAGGATCAATTCTTTTCAGTTAAATTATTCAATAGAAATTTGATGTAACATCCCTTTTTTGTCCATATCAAATTTTACTGATGAGCTTCTGCCATTATGATGTTTTTTTGGACCAAGTCCAGTTCTCCTCAAAATTTTGCCAAGAAACTGTGATTTTTAAATTAATTTTTAGTTAAAAACAAACATTACACGGCAGCTTTAGCTTATCAGTTTTACTTTGCTTTGATGTTTTTTACCAGTAATATTCATTATGAATTGGATAAAAGGCTGATAGTTCATCTGTTTATCTTAACTAATCCCTGAGACAGTTGCGAGCAGTTTTCTGAGTTGGAAAAGACTGTTGGAGGGAGTGACAAAGCAGAAGAACCCAAATTGTTCTTGGGCCCGAAATGCGTTATTTCATAAGGAAAACGGGTTCCTACGCAATTTATGAGTTTAGTGATAATGTTAGGGACATAATCAAATTGTTTTTCAAGTGTGAGTATGCCCTCTTTTTTTTTTTTTTTGCAATAAACACTTTTATTTGGAAAGGGGAAGAAAAAAATTGTGTGGATCCTTCCATGTTATATTAATTGTAATTGTGGAGTTTTTTTGATTGAAAGATTACATGATGACCAAAAGCTATTATGAATTTTTAAATGTTTTTTTAAATTAGCAATATTTCATTTTTTACTATAGCATGTACAGACATTTGAAAATTAGCAGTATACACACGTTTGATGTGGTATTTTTTTCAGTTCACAGACCATACAAGATTGGGTGTATGTTGGTATGTTGTATGAATTCCTAGACAACATCTTCTAACATTTCTCTACCTGCTACTCTAAACCCTTCTGAATCCCCCAACCCCACCCTGCTTAGCCCACAGGGCAGGACCCTTCAATATAAGCCATGACTCAGTGCTCCTACTTTATTAGTATTTGGCATCACCTTACTTATTTTTGTGTGTGCGTGGGCCGGCTCGTACAGGGATCCAAACCCATGACCTTGTGGTTATAAGGCTGCGCTCTAACCAACTGAGCTAACTCGCCAGCCCCACCTTAGTTATTTGAGGGAGTTATTTTGAAGAGTTATAGACAAATCGCTTTCTAAAAGGTCAGTGCTGATAAGAAGGGTGGTAGTGCGTCTTTCTGCTAACACTAGCTCTGAGCCTCAGAAATGAATATTTTGTTTTGTTTTAGGTATACACTTTTCATTGTGCTGTACCCGATGGGAGTGTCTGGAGAACTGCTCACAATATATGCAGCTCTGCCCTTTGTCAGACAGGCCAGCCTGTACTCCATCAGTTTGCCTAACAAATACAATTTCTCCTTTGACTACTATGCATTCCTAATTCTGATAATGATCTCCTACATTCCAAGTAAGTAAACAGTTATGCATATATTTATTTATGTTTTAAAATTTGACTCTACAATAACTAGAGTTAAATGTTTTCAATTGTTTTTGCACCATATACAAGTAAACGTAAATCTAATTTATTGGGAATGCTTTGGTTTTTATTGAATGCTGACTGTCAAAGGGAATTTTCTCTGGTAATAATTGAATAAAGATGAGCCCTTCTCAGTAGAGCTGCCAAAATGCAACCCTTTTCTGTGTGTGGGTTTAAAACAGTGAGTATATAGTGGGGGAAAGTGCTGAGTGAAAAACAAAAAGCCATTAAAGACCTTACCTTGATTTTATTTTTGTCTCTTGAGAGCTGCTTATTATGGCATTGACAAACATTGTAAAAAGATTTCTGCATTTTTTACTATATCAAAATAGTCACTTCATTTTAAAGGAATCAGTAGTTAACTAGAAAAAATAACAAAGTAAAAATAGATTATTATTTTTTCTATATTTCTCATTTTCTTCTTGAGCACTAAAGCCATATGAATGGGACATAACATTCTCTTCAGGATGGTTTCCAGTCATTTTAGTAGTACTGCTAAAGGTTTAAATATGTCGATAATCAGGGCCGGCCCGGTGGTGCACTGCTACAGTGCGCCACTTGGGAGTGCGGCGGCGCTCCCGCCCGAGGGTTCGGATCCCACATACAGACCGGAGGCTGCTCACTGGCTGAGCGAGGTGCGGGTGCAACACCGAGGGTTGCGATCCCGTTGCTGGTCCCGGTCCGGTACGGGCGCGACACTGAGGGTTGCGATCCGTTGCCGGTCACACACACAAAAAAATATCGATAATCAAATGTGCCTTTCAGCTTACTCAGTGACAGAGAAAACGACATGTTTGAAGTTTCTATGAGGTGAGTTCTGTTTGCTGAGGATGAGGACTGTAGTCCTTTTCTCGGATTTGGATATTCAGTTGAATCCTATGTTAAATCTATGATTGATTTTTACATACCAGAAGGATTTTATTATATTCAAGGACATGTAATGTTACTGTTTCTTCTCTTAGCTATTTCCATAGCCATTGTAACTCTGAATCTTATTTTAGTCCATAAGGGATACTATATTCTCCCCTAAACCCCAGGTTAAATTCAGACAGGGTTGGATTTTTCTTCAGCCCACAGCATTATCTGAATGAATCATTCTAACAGTCATAAGCAGCACGTTTGTGTCCCTCTGGGGAAAATTGCATTTCATGCATTGTGAAAAAAAACTACATCCGGATTTCATGTGAACATTTATCTTGGAGAAATTCTTGGATGTAGTTCTGCTTCGTGATTCATTTTCAACTCTATTCATTATCAAGTCCTCCTCTTTAGTGCTAGAACCATAGTGGCTAAAGGCTGTTTCTCTCCAAGTGTAAAAAGTAGTTGATTTTCAAACAAAAGATATATGTGGAAGAGTCTAAAAATTTAAGTAATAAAAATTAATAGTTTTTCACCTTCCTAATGTTGTTCCTTTAGTTTCATTTTCCACCTTCTAGAGCAACATTTTGCAGTTGCAGTTTTACCACACTCAGAGTAACACATGTTTTTCCAGTGGGCACCACAGGGTATATTTAAATTCAACACAGTTTTTCAATGAATAGGAGACATGTACTGTATTGGATAACTGGGAAAGACACAGGGAGGTTACCATGAAATCAAACCCATAAGAAGATGTCTCCACACTGAAAAAATCTATGGGTCCCTGCCACAGAATTCCTACAAGATTTCCAGCCTGTGTAAGGAACAACTCCCCAAGCAACCTTATTCTGTGTGTACCTGCTGGCCTGACCTGTGCCACACCTTGTGCCTCTCCCTGCTGACCACTTGATTTAGCAAAAGAGCCTGGTCAAGCACAGGCAGCCCTTCTGTGGTAACAGGATTCCTGGAGGGAAACAAACCCAGTTCTGTGGCATTTGTCTTCTTGGCCTTGAGAAAGACAGAGAGAAAACACAGACCTCAGGACTAGCTGTCTTTTAGAGAGTAGGGCAGGTCTCTCCTCCCAACAGAAGTCTGCTTTTTTACCTCAGTTCCTTCCCCTTTCATCCAGTCTTAGCCTCCTGTTGGTAAGAGAACTTGGCTTTGTTAAAGTCTACTATAATTTCCTTTTTTAAGGCAGCTTAACTCTTGTAGGCCAACAAAAAGGGTAGATTTCAAATAAAGATTAAAAAGTTCCCTCCAGATCCCTGACTCCCTACCCAGTTTAAGATGGCAGCCCAGACCCTGTCTTGCAGCAAATCACCATTGTGTCTGCTGGCACTCACCGTGCTCCTGGCCTGAGCCAGACGCCTTGGATATTTTCAGTAGCTCAGTTTGTTAATATTGAGACCAGTTTGTACAGTTTGCTCTAGCCAACTGCACATTTCCAACTTTCCAAAGCTTTGTATTTATAAGAAGAAAATGCAGAATTAGGAAAGGTTGCTGTTGACATGCAGTGTCCTTTACCAAATTTGGTTTTCTTTCTACAACTTAGGGTTTTTTTAATCTTCTTTAATGGGAAGTTGATGATACACATTTATTATATACAGTAACACCTTTTCTTTATGGTTCTGATGCACTGTTGCATTGTTGCACATGCAGCCCAAATTGTGGTTCCCGGCCCCAGGAATTTTCTCGTATTGGGGTTCTCTGGAGTCCCTGGCAAGGTGCTCCTCTCCTGTTCTGCTTCAGTTGCAGTTATGTACAGTATCGGTATAATACAGTGTCTGCAGATGTCTAAGTCCTGTTTACATTTTCCTCCCAAAATTGGTGAAAATTTGGGCCGGCCCGTGGCTCACTCGGGAGAGTGGTGCTGATAACACCAAGGCCCCGGGTTCGGATCCCATATAGGGGTGGCCGGTTCGCTCACTGGGTGAGCGTGGTGCTGACAACACCAAGTCAAGGGTTAAGATCCCCTTACCGGTCATCTTTAAAAAAAAAAAAAAAAAAAAAAAAAAAAAAAAAAATGGGGAAAATTGGTTTTGGGGGGGGGGGTAAAAAAAGGGTGAGAAAAACTTTGAGGGGGGG